TATCTGTACATGATCACTGCCAAGAACTGGCCACGTGGTCACGTAGGACGTGCATGGCCGTCGGTAGACCTACTACTCAGTACTCACTGTACATAGCTACTAGTACTTGACATAGGTGCAGTCAGTGAACATGGGGTCAGGAGTTCTTATTTTCCAAGTGCTGTGGTGGCCCCCACTGGCAGTGTTCACGTGTTCAATAGTGGTGTACACGTATGAGTGAGTGTGCGGATGTGTGCGCAACGAGTGAGTGCAGGGTGGACAGAGAATTCTTATTTTCCAAGTTGGGCTCCCAGTAAAAAATTACTAAAAATCAAAAAATTAATGGAAAAAAATGGGGGTGGGTGGGTGGGTCAGAGACAATTTTGCACGACGGATTTTTAATTTTTCGATAATTACGGACGACCCCTTATGGGCTCACCACACCGCAGTACACACTCGCGCACGCACGCACACACACCATATATGCCCGTTGTCAGAAGCGGGCAAATCTGCAAAGACACTGGATTTACACCCACAGATGTAGAGGATATAACCCGAGTCAGAGGGTTATACCGGCTGAATATAAATCCCGACTGCGATAGCAGGAGGGATTTATATGAGGGTACGGTATAACCCGACTACGAGGGTCATATCCTACTTATGCCAGGTACCCCTACGCATTTCCAGAACAACGAACCTATTTGGAGATCTCCTACATCATGCAGTACATGAACATCTTCTGATGGTTATCAGTTGTCAGTTGAAAGAATGGTCGAGCAAGGTCAGAAGAAGATTCCTCCGTGGATGTTTGGCATAAGATTTCCTTTCAGTTCCAGTGCATATTGTAGCATCTTCATGATCTTGTCTTGAGCCGTGAGCGGTGCCGGAAGTCGACTGAATTGCTGCGGTGCTGGAGTTTGTCGTTGAATCAAACTACCGTCACTAGTTAGATTACAGCTTGGACTCTTTGGGAGTAAGTGTTACTATAATTATGGTACAGTGCTGATTTTCACATGCGGCATCTCATAATCAGTTTTGCTTGCAAGTAGATGCATTTGCATACACTGTTTTGTATCACATTTCAATCCAATCTATTGTAGCCTTTTCCAATCGGGTTGAAGTACATGTACACTGGTATTATAAACTTATTTATGAAGGAGACAGTCCGTTGATGATCTTCAACTCTTCGAAGTACATTGCTGACCCATTCGGGATACTTCGTGGTTATTCGACGTTCTTTATCCTCAGATTCAGTATAACAGAATACTCTGTAGACGAATTCCAGGTCATTCTTCTTTTCCATTGTGTACTGTTCCTCGTCAGTGTGCCGTTCTGTGTGGAGTGGACACGCGCATGTGGTGTCCGTTGTGTCTGTTTATGTATGGTCCGTGCGCTGGAGTACTGCCGCCGTACAAGTTCACTGCCTTTCAGGCAGTGAACTTGTACGGTGGCAGTGCCCTAGCGTACGTACCGTGCACCGGGATTTATATTCTATATAAATCCCGCGCGGGATTTATACTGGCCAATATAACCATGGCTAGACGAGCGCTGATTGGCTGAAAACAGGCCCTCCGTACCGTACCATGGTATAAGTTCTCTTATAGCAACAATGAGGACAAAATCCGCATGAAACAGATCAAGACTTGCGCCAGATAACTGCCCAAATCCACAATACTACAGTCCATTTCAAAACTATAGACGCGTACATACAGTCCATTCAGAAAAAGATGGACTTCTAGCTTTTGGCCATAAATGGGTCAAACTTTGAGTTTTTTTAGAATTTTTTTCTGCAATCCCCTATGGAATCCTCTTCCAATTATGTTTCTGAAGTCTATTTATCCAAAAAGCAAGCCATAACAAGAATAGGATATCGGCCAGGTTTTGCCCCAGAAGCATTGAATTGGGAAAAACCATCAAAATCCAGGCCGTTTGACCCTGCCTGCAACAGTGCATTGTGGGGTTCGAACCCCAGTTCAGGTACCCTTTTTGGACTCTTTTTCAAAGATCAAATTTCGCAGCACTGCACTGTGTACAATGAAATCACGAAAAATCGCCAAATACGGGAGCTCGCCAGAGCCAGGGCCCATCTTTTTCTGAATGGACTGTAGGCAAAAACCGTTATGCCAGCATCTATACCACATAAAATCTGTGATCACTTTGTGCATAATTTTTTCCAAATTGGGCGTCTGTTACCCAATCCTTTAGAAACTATATGAGAGTAATTGTGGAGCGATCCTGAGCAATATTCCGAAAACTATTCTCAAAAAGTTCCAGCCAAATTTGAAATATTTCAAAAACCCTACGCGTCTATAGTTTTGAAATGCACTGTAGTACTATATAGGCAGAACATTTCGTCGGTCAATAATTTCGTCCAACTCCAAAGAAAGGGAGTTCGTCCGGTTGTAAATTTCGTCCATGGATCATAATGTATTGAAAAGCTGTACAAATCAACAGTCCGGCATTTAATATAGTCCAAAAGTTAAAAAACAGAGAGGTTCCAGGCTGTCCAAGAGAGTGCTCAATACCGAGAAGCAGAGAGGCAGAGTTAGTCCAAAAGTTCCTTGGACGAAAAAGACAAATAATTCCCGACAAATATTTCTGCTTGTACAGTAGTTGGCAAAGCCATGTGAATACTACTGCATAAGTACAACGTTTTGTTTGGAATTAACTTTCGCTATGTTCGTTAGGGGGCCTAAAGTTTGTACCAAACTAAAGTTGTTTTCCGAACGTTCGGGGTGACAGATCTCGACCAAAAACGAAATTTAGTACGTAACAAGCCTGCTGGTGGAGTGATCTAACGAAAGATTTCGTGAACGAAAATTTGTACTTATACAGTAGTAGCTGGAAAAGGCATGTGAATCAACCCCCCCCCCCCCCCCCCCCCCCATGCACACCTAGTACCGGTGAATCGACCCCCCCCCCCCCCCGCATGTGAATCGACCCCCCCCCCCCCCATGCATACCTGGTCACCACCCCCAATGCACACCTGGTCACCACCACACGGAGTACATCAGAATAGAACGACCAAGACTGCTACCAAACTTATGCACACACTACACTTGCTGCGGCTAACCAGTATAGACGGCAAGTTGCTGGTAGCTTCGAGAAAAATCGGAGTTACTCTACCAATCGCACTCAAAAACACACTGAACAAGAAAAGAGGCTCCAACCCACCAACCTTTATGATGTTGGCGCTTCTTTGATCCCTGGTCTTTACAACGTATGTGGTACAGCGTCCCTTCAGTTCCGTTCCAACACGACCTACACGGCCACTGCGATGCAAGAACTCAGCCATACCCACAGGAAAGTCGACATTGATCACGTGAGACACCTGAAAAAGAACACATAAAATAAAATCTAAATATGGACTGCACAGGACCCGCGGAAATCTGACCACCCTCAAAACCAGCCCAACTGGTGTGATTTCTGAAGTGGTCTGATCTGTGAGACGACCATCCCAAGTGGCGCATTTCTGAAGTGGTCATCTGTGAGACGACCATCCCAAGTGGCGCACACACATGAGTAACAAGACACAGGACTATCTGGATGGGGGGGGGGGGGGGGGGCATACAACGTGTACTAACTACTCGAGCATCCACACCGACACTCACTCGAATACCATTAAACAAGAGTGTGCAACTCGGCATCAAGTTGGTGAACGCAGAATAAATTCGTAGTTTAATAACGTAATTTTAGACGACTAAATAGAGCTGCGTTCCGTGAGTATAACTTAGTGTTGCACACCACTGCACCAATACGAACTTTAACACCAATTGTTACTGTCTCTTGACGTCAAAATGACGTAAACGGACAAATTCCGCTATCTTTGGCCCACATGCGCAGTTGTACACTCTGGCCTACATACCTGCACATGATTGAGAGGTTGTACACTATGCCTCTGTGCATGCAGTGGTGTACACTATGCCTCTGTGTATGCAGTGGTGTACACTATGCCTCTGTGTATGCAGTGGTGTACACTATGCCTCTGTGCATGCAGTGGTGTACACTATGCCTCTGTGTATGCAGTGGTGTACACTATGCCTCTGTGCATGCAGTGGTGTACACTATGCCTCTGTGTATGCAGTGGTGTACACTATGCCTCTGTGTATGCAGTGGTGTACACTATGCCTCTGTGCATGCAGTGGTGTACACTATGCCTCTGTGTATGCAGTGGTGTACACTATGCCTCTGTGTATGCAGTGGTGTACACTATGCCTCTGTGCATGCAGTGGTGTACACTATGCCTCTGTGCATGCAGTGGTGTACACTATGCCTCTGTGTATGCAGTGGTGTACACTATGCCTCTGTGTATGCAGTGGTGTACACTATGCCTCTGTGTATGCAGTGGTGTACACTATGCCTCTGTGCATGCAGTGGTGTACACTATGCCTCTGTGCATGCAGTGGTGTACACTATGCCTCTGTGCATGCAGTGGTGTACACTATGCCTCTGTGCATGCAGTGGTGTACACTATGCCTCTGTGTATGCAGTGGTGTACACTATGCCTCTGTGCATGCAGTGTTGTACACTATGCCTCTGTGTATGCAGTGGTGTACACTATGCCTCTGTGTATGCAGTGGTGTACACTATGCCTCTGTGTATGCAGTGGTGTACACTATGCCTCTGTGCATGCAGTGGTGTACACTATGCCTCTGTGTATGCAGTGGTGTACACTATGCCTCTGTGCATCCAGTGGTGTACACTATGCCTCTGTGTATGCAGTGGTGTACACTATGCCTCTGTGCATGCAGTGGTGTACACTATGTCTCTGTGTATGCAGTGGTGTACACTATGCCTCTGTGCATGCAGTGGTGTACACTATGCCTCTGTGTATGCAGTGGTGTACACTATGCCTCTGTGTATGCAGTGGTGTACACTATGCCTCTGTGTATGCAGTGGTGTACACTATGCCTCTGTGCATGCAGTGGTGTACACTATGCCTCTGTGTATGCAGTGGTGTACACTATGCCTCTGGGCATGCAGTGTTGTACACTATGCCTCTGTGTATGCAGTGGTGTACA